TCAGCCTTTGTGTCTTTTGAGCTTGAAGGCTGTGCTGTAATTATCTCTGAGGATAAACTGAAATGCATAGTGAGTAAACACATCTTAAATAAATTGGGGGCTCTAGTTCTTAGCTAACTGTCAACAGCATGGCCAGGTTACTGTCCCAAGACCTAGAGAGGATCACTGTCCAAGCTACTGATTTCAAGTTGCTTCATATCACGGACATTTGTTTCTAGGTATCAGAGCCAAAATGAGAACTCCTCCCTGTTCTGATAACCTACTATTCATAGCCAGCGGACTTGACTAAGGAACTGTGAAGAAGAGAAACTCTCCTTACTCATCTTTCGCATTATCCTTTCTTCTCCTGATTTGGTTCCCAATAGTTCATTAAAGAATAAGAAGAACTTCCCTGCTCATCTAGTGGTTAAGAATCTGCCTTCCAAAGCATGGGACATGGGTTTGATCTCTGGTCCAGGAAGATTCCACATGCCATGGGGCAACTAAGCCACTGCCTCGCAAATACTGAGTCTGAGCTCTAGAGCCTGAGTTCTTCGCAAGGCGAGAAGCCTCACGCCACAGCTAGAGAAAGCCTGCCTGCAACAACGAAGACCCAGCACAACAACAACAACAAAAAGAATGAGAAGGAGAAAACAATCCAATTTCTAGTTCTCCTGCCCCATAAAATGTCTTTCCTGTTGACTGGGAAGAAAAAAAGGAAGTACTTAAGTAAATTTCTGATTTTGAAGACTCCAAAGCAATCCAGAATCCTAAATTTGAGAGGCAGTGGAAGGAGTAGGAGCATTTGTATTAAACAGACCTGACCGCATGCTGGCTCTTCCACTTGAAAAGTGAAAGTGAAGTCGCTCAGTCATGTCCGACTCTTTGAGACTCCTTGGACTGTAGCCCGCCAGTTTCCTCCGGCCTTGGGCTTTTCCAGGCGAGAGTACTAGAGTGGGTTGCCATTTCCTTCCTTCTCCAGGGGATCTTCCCGACCCAGGGATGGAACTTGGGTCTCCCCCATTACAGGCAGACTCTTTACCATCTGAGCCACCAGGGTATCCTGGCCAAGTAATCTCGGTTTCCATGTGGTGTGCCACACTCCCAGCTTGGTCCCTTGTGCCCAAAGGCACATGTCCAGTAAATGACAGTCTTTTCTATCTTTCTGAAAGTAAGTAACATCAGAAGAATTTCAGTGAAGCTGAGAATTAAGGTAGATGGTAGAACTAAAGTGAGACTTCGGGGATTTCCCTGGAAGTCCAGTGGTTAACACTCTGCACTTCCAATGAAGGGGACACGGGTTTGATTCCTGGTCAGGGAACTAAGATCCCACGTGCTGCACAGTGAGGCCTAAAGAAAAAAAAAATGAGACTGAGGACGTCCCTGGTGGTCCAGTGGTTCCCTGGTTAGGGAATTAGGATCAGCACTCAGTGTGGACAAGAAATTAAAAAATAAAATAAATGAGACTGGATTTGAAAACGAAATGAGTGAAAAGGGCTAAAGTTGAAGCTGAGAGCCGACCTTTGCACTTTATTAGTTTTTTGGTGATGGACAGGGAGGCCTGGTGTGCTGCAGTTTATGGGGTCGCAAAGAGTCGGACAAGACTGAGCAACTGAACTGAACTGAACTGATTATTCATCATAGCATCCATTCTGGCTCCTGTCCTGGAAACTCTTTTCAGTACAACAGGTACAAAGGGTCTACCAGCAAAGCAGAACTTCATAGGAACAGTAACCTTAGTTAATGAAAAGAAATACGAGGGGTATTCAGAAACCTATTTAATAATGTCATTTCATCATAAACAAGTTGAAGTAGATGGTAGATGTTTGATGGTTTGACTTAGGGGGAAAGAACTGTGTTAGTTTTCTGTGGCTGCTGAAACAAATTACCCCCATTTTGGTTGTTTAAAACAACAAAAGTTTATTCTCTCACTGCCAGGAGTTTGACAAAAGTGGGCAGAAATCAGAGTATCAGCAGGGGCTGTGCTCGCCTCCCTCAGAAGCTCTAGGGGGCAGTCTATTTGGCTGTTTCCCACGCCTGCTGACTCCCCTCACATGTGGTCTCTGCCCCTGCAGTCTTTTGCCTTCTCTTTTGCACATATCAAATCTCTTTCTGCTGCTGCTCTTATGAGAACACTTCTGATTTGGATTTAGGGCCCATATGGATAATCTCCTCATCTCAACGTCAGTACTTAATCACATCTGTAAAGATCCTTTTTCCTTGTAAGTGAAAGTGAAAGTTGCTCAGTTGTGTCTGACTCTTTGCCACCCCGTGGACTACATAGTCCATGGAATTCTTTAGGCCAGAATACTGGAATGGATAGCCTTTTCCTTCTCCAGGAGATCTTCCCAATCCAGGATTAAACCCAGGTCTCCCACATTGTGGGCAGATTCTTTACCAACTGAGCTGTCAGGGAAGCCCTTGTAAGTCACCATCAATTATTGGTGGCCATCAGTCAGCCCTCTATAAGAAACTTGATTCTGTTTAACCAGCATCCCCAAATGAGATAACGGTCTCTTATCTTTTTTTTCATTTAATTGTTTTGTAAATTATGCAAATGATTGACATTTATTGTAGACCATTTAGAAAATACAGAAAAGTTTAAAAAAAAAAGGAAAGGAAAAGAAATTTGATGAGAGGTCATCTGTAATTTTCTCATCCAGTATAGCCAAACCTTCATCAATGAGCATTTTTCTAGAAAGGGTCTTGTGTTTAACAAAGAGAAAGAATAGGAAAAATAGAATAAAAGTAAGAAGAACAGAACAAGCAATTTGGAAGGTGATAAAATAGGTTAATATTGTTCATAATGGATATGTACAGGGCAGCTTAATTTAAAATAAATATAGAGCTTTGAAATGAAATTAACTATGACAGAAGCTGCTTGTAGGATGCATGAAAAAAGACATTCAGCCTTTCAGAGATGGGAAGTTTTAGCTTTGGCCCTGCACTTGAACACCCCTGAATTTTCCCATTACTCCTTCATTTACTCCCAGAGGTCAGACTGTGGCCTGCCAATCTGCCCTGTCATGAACTTTTCTTGACTCCTTATCAGCCTTTCTCAGTGGGTCAGTGTTACGAAGTCTTGGGGAGTCTGGCAGAGTTCCTGCTCCTCCCAGGCTGATATCAGAAGGCAACAGGGGCTGTGAGAGAAGGCAAACATTCAGACCAAACCCAGATGTGGAACTGAAACAACAAGAGGAAAAGCAAGGGCATCAGGTAAAAAAAAAAAATTTTTAAATCTCATCCATCCCATCTCAGCTTATGTCTGAAGGCATAAAGAACTTAATAAAATTATAGCTCAGGAGAATCTTGTAAAGGAAAATGAGTGAGAAATCTGGGGACATGTGGAGCAGATAGATGTTCATCTGGAGCTAGACTCTCAGACTACTTTGTATCTATCAGGGTTGTTATCAGCATTCAAGTAACATCAGTGAGAGTATAGTTCTTCTAGTTTAAAAGCAATTAGATTTGTTTTAGTCCCAGCATGTGGAAGTTATAGGAAGACAGATTATAGCTAAAAATAAGCAAGCTATATATAACAGAGCTGTCAGAAAATAGAAGGGGACTAATTTGAGAGACAATGAGTTGTGTTATTGGAGGTGTTCAATTACTGGAAAGCAATTTGTTGGGAGTTGTGAATATTATAGAGTATTTAAGAACCAGACTGATGGGTAAAATGATCTTTAAAGTCCCTTCTAACACTTCTGTGATTCTCTGATATAAATAGAATCTTACTGGAAATTTCTCTAAGAGCCAGACATTTACATTTGTGTATAGGAGATGCTCACCTATGAAAAGAACAATTGATCGGGTTGATTCTGGTTTGCTTGGAGGAAGTGAGAAAGCAACCAAGAGTAAACTAATGGCAGAGGAGGGGACCAAGCCTGCTGGAAGCCTGCTTTCTTTCCCTCTTGGTGGATATAAACACCACCCACATGGCCTCTGCTTAGCAGAGATCACACAGGGGGGGAAAAACTGGGCTCTCTTCTAGAGGAAGAATTTTGGTTTGGGTTAGTAAATATTTGATTTTACAATTAACAAAAACAAAGGAGGGGACATTTCTGTAACATCTGCTTCTGGGGTGCTAGCTTCAACTTAGGTGGCTGTTTTCTGGTCTGGGAAGCAAAAGGAGATTGGCCACAGTTTGGTAACTATGTCTCAAAGGCTTATGTCCATGCCCAGGTCTCAGAGGTTCCCACAGGCAGAACTATTAGGAAGCACGGAAAACTGTTCCTACATCACACTGTATAAGAAATGTACTTTTAGAAGAATGTCTGAAGAGCTTGAAAGATTTCCGCATTTGGTGTCAGTCGGCAATTCTTTCAGGAGTAGAATAAAGCTTTTTTAAATGTATAAAATAGCACATAGAGAATACCAATTTTTATGTTTGTTTTTATGACTAGATCTTGTACATCACATATACTTCAAAGCTATACTCTCTTGGTTCTCTATTGTCTTCTTTCCCCTTTGGATTGTAAATAAGAGCATTTTCTGATGGCAACCACTTCTGTAAAATTTGTTTGGTTCCTGTAACAATCCATGCCCTTTATATCTGGGCTCACAATTGATGCTTCCTTATTTTAAATGAAAAATAGCTAAAATTTTCAGCAATACAATTTTTTCCTTTATGGTTGAATATTAAGCATTTAGTTTATGCTCATTCATGCTGGGAAGCCTAAGGTCTTGACAAAGTTGGGAGAAAACAGTGAAATCTGACCTAGAAGGGTGGGATAGGGGGATGGGAAGGAGGCTCAAGAGTGAGGGAATATATGTATACATGTAGCTGATTCACATGGTTGTATAGCAGAAAGTAAACATTGTAAAGCAATTATACTCCAATTAAAAAAAGTAGTGATATCAAAGATGATTTCCAATACTAAAATCTATCTCCAATAATTTACAGCTTCGAAGAAAATTTTATAATCTCTGGAATTCATGTTAATATTGAAACAACACTTCTGTCCTAATTATTTATTGGAACCTCTTTCTGTCATTGCTTGTGGCGCAGAAGGGCTGCTGAGATGGAAAGCCTTAAGATGGAGACGGAAATGCTTTATCCTGAGATAACCGTAGAAGTGGGCAGAGTCACTTTTGGAGAGGAAAACAGGAAGAGGATGACCAATAGCTATTTGAAAAGAACTGAGAATTCTAGAATCATCCAAGCGACGTGTGCACTGTTAAATTCCGGAGGGGGTGTGATCAAAGCGGAGATTGAGGATAAGACTTACAGTTACCGATGCCACGGCCTGGGACATGATCTGGAAACTTCTTTTCAGAAGCTCCTCCCTTCAGGCTCACAGAAATACCTTGACTACGTGCAGCAGGGACACAATCTTATGATTTTTGTGAAGTCATGGAACCCAGATGTTTTCAGCCTAAGGATCTGCAGCTTGCGCTCCAATTTATATCAGAGAGCTGTGACTTCCACCATCAACTTGAGTGCCCACAGCGCCCTGGAGCTCCTCCGAGAAAAACAGTCTAGAACCCAGAGAGGAAGATCAAAGATGCAGGAGCTACATTCTCAGAAAGCTCTGGATAGATACATGCAGGAAGAGGAAGACATGAGGATGAGCGCCTCAGAATTTGTTAAAAAGGATAAGCTCGTGTATAAGGAGAAACTCAACTTCACTGAGTCCACACACGTCGAGTTTAAAAGGTTCACCACCAAAAAGATCATTCCTCGGACTAAAGAAATGCTGCCTCATTATGTCTCTGCATTTGCCAACACCCACGGGGGATACCTAATTATCGGGGTGGATGATAAGAGCAAAGAAGTGTTCGGCTGTCAGGGAGAAAAAGTGAACCCTGACTTACTAAAAAAAGAAATAGAAAACTGCATAGAAAAATTGCCTACATTCCACTTCTGCTGTGAGAAGCCAAAGGTGAACTTCACTACCAAAATCTTAAATGTATACCAAAAAGATGTCCTGTACGGTCATGTCTGTGTGGTCCACGTGGAGCCCTTCTGCTGTGTAGTATTCACAGAAGCCCCGGATTCCTGGATCATCAGGGACAATTCTGTCACAAGGCTGTCTGCTGAGCAGTGGGTAACCATGATGCTAGATATTCAACCAGGTAAAGCAGAGAGAAGCCATTGTTCATTCAGGAGGCAGAAATTTCTGTCTTCATTTGGTTATTTGGCCAGTTAAAGAATGGGGCTTCCCTGGTGCATCAGACATAAAGAATCCGCCTGCCAATGCAGGAGACGCAGGTTCGATCCCTGGGTTGGGAAGACCCCCTGGAGAAGGAAATGGCAACCCACTCCAGTATTTTTGCCTGGGAATCCCATGGACAGAGGAGCCTGGTGGGCTACCATCCATGCCATGGGGTGGCAGAAGAGTTGGAAATAACTTAGCGACTAAACGACGAGAAAAAAAGAACATAAATCTGCTTTTGCTTACAAATCTTCTCCTATTAAAGGGTGATTTTCTATATTTTTAGTTCCAAAGATTCCGAATATGAACTGCGTGAAGTCAAGAAAAGCCTGTAGGCCATCAGCCATGAATTTGTGAAAGTTCCTTTTTTATTTTTCCTTTAAGCTTTTTAAAATAACATTCATTTCTTAAAAGTTAACATGTGCATAATAGGAAACCAAAAAATACAAGAAGCAAAAACCAAAGTCATTCATAATCACAAGCAGTTTACCAATTGATGTGTCCTTCTAGGTCTCATTTTTAAACACTGTAAAGGTCTGCAGAAACAAATTTGTAGGCTGATATTCCTACTCTAAAACATTCATCTACAGTCTCTCTAAAAGTGATTTTTAGAGAAACACTGTTTAAGAATGGCTCTCCACTAATTCTTTCAAGGGAAACTTGTTGACAAATTTGAATTGCTTCAGTAACATTAGGAGCCCATAAGAGCCACTCTCAGGGCTGGGGGCACCACCAAGTGGAGAAAAACTAAAAACTTATGCAAAAGGAGGTTGGTCCTGGGGAGGGGTTGGGGGTGTGGGAGGAGGACTCCATGTGTTTTCACTTCCTTTCAGTTTTGCTAAACATCAGCCCTGGTGATTTCAGTTCAGCCCATAAAAGACTTACAGGCTGAATGAAGTTTATTGGTTTGCCTCCAGGGTCAGTAAGTTCCAGATTTGGTGAAAAGAAGCTTGGATCAAGACTTGAGTGATTTCATTGGATTATGTTTTCTCTTGTCTGAAATTAGAGTTTACATCACACACACATACCAAACTAGAGATTCTACCACTTCTTATTCTTCATCTAAACTTGGTGGGGGTTGGGAGAGACCTTTAACAACTATCACAATATAAAAAAAATTATGGTGCTTACTTTAAAAATTTTTTTTAGGCAGGCTGGACCTTAGTTCCCATATTGGACCTTAGTTCCCCAGCCGGGGATCAAACCCATATCCCCAGCATTGGAGGCGCAGAATCCTAACCAGTGGACTACCAAGGAAATCCTATGCTTACTTTTTCTGCCATTCCACCATCACCACTACTAGAAGACTTTTCTCTTTAGGGGTGACCTGGAACCAGAATGTTAGAATTGGGAGGAACCGCAGGGACCACCTGCTCATCCTTTCAGGAGAGATGAGAAATGACTTGCCTGAGATGAATCACAGGTGCCTTAGAAGACGCATGGCCCTGCAGGAGTCCCAGGCCTCCTTCCTAACATGCATGAACTGTTGGCAGCGTAGAAAGAGGGCAGCCCAGGCATGACACATGTCATACGTCAACCGTAGGAAGAGCAATAGAGAAGTTCTTTATCATCTAAAATGATGCTTTGTGGGGTTTTTTTTTTTTTTTTTAGCTCCTTCCAATTTGGAGGCTGACTACAGCCTTCACCCGATTTCATCAGCTTCATCTACCCTAAGAAGTCTGTCATATCCCATCAAAGTCTTAGAATTTAAGAAGGCTCTCCAACAGCACCTGTTTCCAGGTATTCCTTCTTGATTTCAGCTGAGGGGACTATTTATTTCCTAAAATTAAATCACCGGTGGGCGGTGGTTGGTAGCAATTCACCCCAGACTTCCTCCTTGGAGAAGGTCAGGTGTAGGGCTCAGCGGACACAATGGTCCTGAATTAATACACATGGGGGACTCTTGTTTGCAGTCATTAAATCCACCCTATACTTCTGTGTACCTTTGGGCTTCCAGTCACAGTAGCTTTTTTTTTTTCCCCTCGGAATATGAGAGAATAAATTTAAGAGAACCGCTCCCCCTGGCTTTCCAAGGCAGAAGGAAGTGAGCCATGGGGTCACCTGGATGCTTCCAGGTGAAAGTCCAGGCAGAGTCTAAGGCAGAGTTTCTCAATCTCGACCTGTTGACGTTTGGATTCGATAATTCTTTTTTTTAATTAATATTTTAATTAGAGGATAATTGCTTTACAATATTGTGTTAGTTTCTGACATATATGAGCATGAATCAGCCTTAGGTGTACACATGTCCCCTCCCTCTTGAAACTCCCTCCCACCTCTTACCCCATCCCACCCCTCTAGCTTGTCACAGAGCACTGGGTTTGAGCTCTCTGCGTCCCTCAGCAAATTCCCACTGGCTCTCTATTTTACATATGGTTTGAGGGAGGCTGCCCTCAGAATTCCGAGAAGGCAATGGCACCCCAGTCCAGTACTCTTGCCTGGAAAATCCCATGGATGGAGGAGCCTGGTGGGCTGCAGTCCCTGGGATCGCTGAGTTGGACACGACTGAGCGACTTCACTTTCACTTTTCACTCTCATGCATTGGAGAAGGAAATGGCAACCCACTCCAGTGTCCTTGCCTGGAGAATCCCAGGGACGGGGGAGCCTGGTGGGCTGCCGTCTATGGGGTCGCACAGAGTCGGACCGACAGACGTGACTTAGCAGCAGCAGCCGCAGCCCTGAGAACTGCAGGACGTTTAGCAGCATTCCTGGCCTCTAGCCACTAGATGGCGGTAGCACCTCTCCGGGTCCAAAAAGTCAAACCATTTCCAGACAGTCCCAAACGACCCCACTGGGGGCAAACTTGCCACAGGTTAAGAATCACTGTTGGAAAAGCAAAGTTCTTAGTTTCCCCAAAGCATCAGCTTTTTGCTCTCTCTCTCTCTCTCACACACACCCTTAACAGAAGTACCTTTCTAGAGTTACTGGGTCACTTAGGGCTGAGGACAGAGTGTTAGAAGGCTGTTCTGTGAAGACCCCTCCCTGGTTGCCCTTCCCTGCATGCTGCTGCTGAGTCGCTTCAGTCATGTCCGACTCTGTGCGACCCCATAGACGGCAGCCCACCAGGCTCCTCTGTCCCTGGGATTCTCCAGGCAAGAACGCTGGAGTGGGTTGCCATTTCCTTCTCCAATGCATGCATACATGCTAAGTCGCTTCAGTCGTGTCTGACTCTGTTGCCTGCATGAGAGCTGTCAGAAACAGGGACCTCACAGCCCTGGCCTGTGAAGAGGAGGTGTTTTATTTGCAGATAAGGAAACTCAGCCACAGTTCCGTGGCTAGGCTTATTTCATTATGAGGTCGCGGGAATACTTAAAATATCTTTTTATAAATCTTAGTAACCTCTATTCCTTGAATTTTCAGTGACACGGGAAAAGATTCAATTTAAACCAGAATCCCTCTGTAAGAAGCTCTTCTCAGATCATAAAGGACTGGAGGAATTAATGAAGACACAGATATATCCTTGTTCTCAGGGGTTTGTGATAGTTTCCAGAAGCTGGGCTAGTGATGTCGGCTTAAGGAAGGAGCAGTATGTCCTCTGTGATGCTCTCCTAATAGCGGTGAATAGCCCCCCGGTACTCTATACAGTCTTAACAGACCCCACGTGGACTGGGGGGCTTGTGTATGCCCAGATCACTGCTCGTCAGTTAAAGCAGAGACTGGGAACTGTTGGTGGTTACACAGGGAAAGTGTGTGTCATTCCGAGGCTGGTGTACCTGCCTGGCACACAGCGCAAACCCAGCGAAATCGCTTTGTGTTATCCCCGACCCTACAGGCTTGCCGATGAGGACGAAATGGAAAAATTGTTGCAGGCACTTATTGTGGTCTCTCTCTGCTCTCAGTCCCTTCTGAGTGACCAACTGGGCTGTGAATTTTCCAATTTGCTCGTAGTGGAGCAGTGTGAGTTGCTTTCACAGAGCCTTCAGGAGACACGAGAACTGTTCGTCCACTGCTTTCCAGGAACCAGAAAGACAGTGCTGGCCATGAAGATCATGGAGAAAATTAAGGACTTGTTCCACTGCAAGCCCAAGGAGATCCTCTATGTTTGCGAAAGTGACATCTTAAAGGATTTTGTGACGTAAGAGTTTCACTAAACACCATAAATGTATTTAGTCAGTCTTTCAACAGCGTTGCACCAGTAATCTGTGTCTTTGCTGTAAGATTGTGCAATGACTTTGATGCATACATGCAAGAGCCCAAACTATGCATACAGTTGCAAGTGATCAAGCAGGTGAACTAGACAAGAGCACTTTGCAGTGTTCATGGTTAAACATTACATTATTAATTAGCCACATAGGCATAACTTTCAATTTATAGAACTAGAAACATTTTTCCCCACCGTCTATGGCTTTAAACTTAAGAAAGGCTGAAACGAATCCATCTTGTTTCACATATGGTTTTTGCTTGATATTTAATGTTTTAACAGGGTATTTACATGCTTTCATAGGGTATTTCAGTCAATTAGACATTCCACCTAACACACACTTGATTTTAAATACCGTTTGATTTCATTTATAAAATATTTTTATGTGTTTGACTTATTCTGATTCAACCATTTTAGAAACCATGCACATCTGCTTCTGATCTAAATCTTTAGCTTTCAGTTTAGTAAAAGAAATTGGCTGTTATTCAGTCCAGCGAATGAGGGCTTTTAGTTTTTGGTTTGCTTGACTTTATCAAGCTAACCTTTTTTGAGCACCATTTATATGCTAGATGTAGGGTACCTTTAGTGTTGGAGGAGGAAAACGTGCTGAAGACCTTGCCATAGAGCCATGTAAGAGAGACGAAGGGAAATAAGCAATGGGAATGTTGTGTAATTAGCATGATAGTAAAGATGCGCTTAAACCTAACAGGCTGTAGTTTGGTCAGCAAATACTCTCCAATGAAGGACATGCTGGCTTCTTTCTTAAGAAGTCCGTAGAAGGA